AAATATGTTGGTATTCATTATAGCAGTTGGTGGCATATGGAATTGGTGTTGTTCCCTAATTAATTTGTCATTTAGAAAAATTAATACTAGTGTATACTATTATGGATGGAAGCACCGGGCTAATGTGAACTATTTTCTTCAATATGCCATTGCTTCAAAGTATTACAATGTTTAGTGAATAATATGAATGTTGCAGAGTTGTCAGACCAGCTGAAGGAGTTTTCGTCTCTGTAAAGAAACCTCCTCCAAAGAGGACATGGAAGGTTAGTTCAAGTCTGATTTGTAAAGCAACTTCAGAAATATTCTTTAGTTGTGATCACTACAAAATTGATATTCACATAATCATTCAGGTTAGTGAAAGTCTATTTCCATGCACACTATCCAAAGAAAAGACCAAGCTGGCTGAGGAAGCTGTAGAAGTTGCTGTCAAAATGTGGGGTCCGAGATCGTTGACAGAACTAGAAGCAGAGGAACGATTGTCTTATTCTTGTGAAAAGGTGAAGTTAAAATAAGAATTTATTATACTGTTATTATCTTTGTCTTGACAAGGAGAAAAAAATAGGAGTAGATATATATGGCATGGGCTGGAGATATAGCCTGTTGGTATTCTAAACTTTAAAACAAGCAGAGTTATTCTTATGTCCAATGGGGATAACTAGTCCATAGCAAGTTGTGCTTTACAGAGGAAAATCCTACATGGAAATGGAAATCATTAATAAGCTGAGATTGTAGCATATTAATTATTCCAAGCTCTTCAAAATCCAACTTGATAAAACACCTTCCTAATATTTCGAACTACAAAAATACGTTCTTACATTTTCCTTCTACTGTTTGGAGAGATACAATGACTCAAGCATATTTTCCAAAACAAATAAGTAGAATCTATTGTTTTTGATTACTCAACATATAATTTTTGTCACAGGGTCCTGTTCAAGATGAAGTAATTGCAAAGCTACGCAGTGCTTTTCTAGAAATTGTCGGAGAATATAAAGTCTACACTGAGGAAGAGAAAAGGGAGGTAGTTTAGTGATCCTTTAAATTATCTTGGGTATTCCTTTTTCATTTCGAACTATATGTATACTTCTGAAATTTCCATTTCATATATTACCGGCATTCAGTCCAAGCATGAACCTCTCTTTGTTTCTGCTGCTTAAATGTACTGGACATACATATGATTCTGTGGCGCACAACTTCTACCTCACTCCAATATAAAAGAATCGCTTTCCTTTAAAAAGTAGCTCTTGCCTTCAGTTTGACTCATTTATACCCTAGAAAGTGTCTTCTCCTTTTCCCTTTGATAGGATAGTCTTCTGATTTATTTATTTTGACGTGCAAAGGTTATTTCGTCTGGTGGGCTCCATGTGATCGGGACTGAACGACATGAGTCGCGGCGAATTGACAATCAGGTACTATTTTGACATTGCTATTGCAGTACATTGGTGCAAAACCAATTAGTGCCTTTTCATCCCATTGTCTGTACCATTCCATTGGAGATTTGATTGTAATATTTATATGCACGAAGCTGCGTGGTCGAAGTGGTAGACAAGGAGATCCTGGAAGTTCCCGCTTCTTCCTTAGTCTTGAAGACAACATATTCCGTATATTTGGTGGGGATCGAATTCAGGTAACTTATTGTGTGCTCTACGTATTATGTTTTTTTCTTTTAACTGTGGTGAGGCCAGCTTGCACTCACCTGTCGATTAATTCCATGGAGTACTCGCTACCTCCCACCGACATAGATACCAGATAATTTTGTCCACCAAGGTTTGGACAGATGGAAAGCAATCACCTACTGTTTTCACGTTGGGATTTGAACCTGTGACCGTTGGCCACTTCATGGTTCTTCATGTAAGACATTATTATGTTTATGATGTCCCCCAAGGTTTGGACAGATGGAAAACAATCACCTACTGTTTTTACATTGGGATTTGAACCTGTGACGTTGACCACTTCATGGTTCTTCATGTAAGACATTATTATGTTTATGACATCCAGGGGATGATGAGAGCATTTAGAGTGGAGGACTTACCAATTGAATCAAAGATGTTGACAAAAGCGCTCGATGAAGCTCAACGGAAAGTAGAAAATTACTTTTTTGACATCAGGAAGCAATTATTTGAATACGATGAGGTATTGAATAGCCAAAGAGACCGGATATACAGCGAGAGAAGAAGGGCCCTAGAAGCTGATGACCTCCAAGCTCTCCTTATTGAATATGCTGAATTAACAATGAATGACATCTTGCAGGTACATAAATTTTTTAATTTCCATACTCTAAAAGTTAGTTCTTTTGCATATGAATTTGTAACAACTGTTTTCTTTTCTGTTTGAATGTAACAGGCAAATATTGGTTCTGATGCTCCAAAAGAAAGCTGGGATCTTGAGAAGCTTATTTCAAAGCTGCAACAGTAATGATCTCGTGACGACTCTTTACTGTGTCTTTTTTTCATGAATTCATTCATTTTTCGGCATTTGTGAATCAAAGGAAAGGATTTGGTATTTAAAGAGTGCCGTAACCAGTTGCGAGCTTCATGTTCCCATAGTTCTTCTCACCTATCCTACATTTCACCCATATTCTGAATAGTACTGTCATATTACGATTCTACTCTGAGCTACTTGACCTTCACAGGTATTGCTATCTGCTGAATGATTTGACACCTGATTTGTTGGCGGCTAATGGTTCTACTTATGAGGAATTGCAGCAGTATCTTCAGCTACGTGGACGTGAAGCATATCTCCAGAAGAGGGTCAGTTTTCTTTGGTTATACTTCCAATTTCCTTGCAGCTCTTACTTCCACTTAGGTTGAGTGTCTTGCAAGATGAACATAATTAATGGATCCTATCGTCAAGTATTTAAAACACCCAAGCATTTAAAACGAAAAGGTTGGTTGGAAGAGGTGGAGTAATGCCTACTGGGCATTGACAGAGTAGGGGGTTAAGGGGATCAGGTATGGAGATGAGGTGAAAATTCTCATCCCTTAAAAAAAGGTCATTTCACATAACCTGTTAGACCTGCTTGTGATGGGAGATCTCTCTTTCCTTTTTTCGCCCCCATGTCACCACCCTTATGTTTAAATCCAGGTCAACTTAATATCAATTCGAAGGAACATGAAAGTAATTCTCACTTCTCCCAAAAACTAGTATTCTGTTGTGGACCTAACACCTTTTCTAACAAATTGTGATTCCAGATGGCACAGTTCACCCAATTTAGTAAGTACCACTGGCAGAGGTCCTAAGTGTTTAGTCTCGCCACACACTTCAACAGAATCTTTCAAGTGGAAAGTGAATCAGAACCTAAATTAAATGAATACAACTCTTAGCCTTTAGTAGTTCACACAATTCTAAAATTCATTTGTTGGTAAGGAATAATATTCACTCCACATCAAGTTGAAATGTGGAATAGCCCTTAAAATTCATTTTATTTATTTTTAAGGGAGTCCTTCCTGTGCCTGAATTTTACAATCATTAGATAGTTTCGGCCATCTCGTAGGATGCATGTTGTCAAGGTGAAAATGGAAGAGAAGAGAAGGGTGGAGGAGAAAACTACCTCAAAGTCCAAATGCTTTCTTGCACATCTACTCTGCGTGATAAGAGTGGTTGCTATAGGTTGATGCTCAACATGAAATAGTCTAATTACAAACGAATCTTTTGAAGGATACAGTTGATTCACATGGTCAACCTAGACTATCTTGTGAAGAGGTCTAGTTGAATGACTTTTAGGGCATCAAACAGAAATTGTTCTGGGAACTGGCCAAGATTAGTACCTTATTGGTTCAGATTATTTCACATGTTTTTGATCAAATATTATTTCATCAGATTAGTATATCACAATAGTCTATGGTCAATACATTAAAAGTTCCTCCTGACCTTGGTAGACACTAGACGGTACATGTTGTTGGTGGGAGGTAGCAGGTAATTCGTGGAATTAGTCGAGGTGCGCGGAAGCTGTCCTGGACACCACTGTCATAAAAAAAAATTACATAAAAAGTTCCATTTTCTTGACTCTAGACAGGCAGTACTGCAACCAAACTTGTCAGTTTTGTTGAACTTAAATAGTAATCCTTCTACATACTCAGATTAGATTTTGATAATCAACACCAAAAATGCACTGAGAAATGAAACAGGCAAAGAGAAACCATATACAATTATTAGGACATTTGTGAGCTCCGTACTCTCCATTTCAGCATCTCTTTGATATTTTGGAGTATTGAATTGCTTCTTCGTTTCCTTTCCTCTTACTTTTGGATATTCATTCCTATCGTTTAGGATATTGTGGAGAAAGAAGCCCCAGGTTTGATGAAAGAAGCAGAGAAGTTTCTAATATTGAACAACATTGATCGCCTGTGGAAAGAACACTTGCAAGCACTCAAGTTTGTCCAGCAGGCTGTGGGGTTACGAGGTTACGCACAAAGGGATCCACTAATAGAATACAAACTTGAAGGGTACAACCTTTTCATTGAGATGATGGCACAGATCAGGAGAAATGTCATATATGCTGTTTATCAAGTTAGTATCCTGACTTTTGAGATCTTCCAATCTTCAAGAAATTTTGTAGAGGATGCAATATTTTCGTTCACTCCTCCCACTTAACCAAATTTATATACCTGATTTTTATTATTTGTTTTCTTTTGTCAGTTTAAACCAGTCATGGTGAAGCCTCAAGACCAGAAAAAGAGTGACAAGGTGGACAAAGCCAACACAAATGGGAGGGGTAGTAATGGTGCTACCAATCCATCTCCATCAGCTATTAGCTCACAGTCTAGTGCCTAAGGCATTGTTCTGGAACCGACAGTTTTGGGGAGAGCAGAAGACATATGCGATAGATTCTTTCACCAACACATAATTCTGAAGTGCAGAGCAACCCAGATGTCACTTGCAACTGGAAATATCAAATAAGGTACCCACGGGACCGATACATTGTGAATCAAACAGCCTAATCTCAGCTTAGATTAAGATATGAAATTCAGTAGGCCTCTGCAACGTGGTATCGTTCAGCATGATTCCTTGATGTACATGTCATTGTAAAGAAGATAAAAGCTTCTTGAAATTACATATTACTTCACTTTTACAAGGTTTGTAATCAAAAACTAGATACACCTTCACAATACACTATTGATCAATGTCTCTGTATGAAGCCTCATTGCAATAGTCATTCAAAATTGTGGAGTATTTCAGTGCTGATAAATTGATTAAACTTGTTTCCTTTATCCTGCATGGAGCATACCATATCACACATTTGAAGTTGGAAAAGTCCAGTTCAATATCCACAGGAACAAAGAAGCTGAATTCCCTTACCTTAACACCAATGGCAATTGCAGTTTTAAGTTTAACCAGTTCACCCAATCTCAAAGAACCTCTTTTCTTGTCTTTGACGAATACAACTGGTACCTTCTTTGAACTAGCCAAGCTTTCCACATGTTTGGTCAGCAACCGCGGATGACAATCAGATGCTATTAGTATAACCTACATATCCACAATGTCAAAGAGGTTTAACAAATTAATGCATCATACCAAAGAACATGCTATCCTGTAGATACAGAAAACATGTAGGCATTGAATTGGAAGAATACAGAACTACAATGTAGAATTGACACTTTGAAGCTCAATCATATAGATCCAACAGGAATTTTTAAGGCAGGTTGAAACCAAATGAAAGTGAGGATGCAAAAAGTTCATGAGCAGGCGAGCTAAAAACCTGAAGTCGAGTTGAATGCATTTTAAGGGATAGTGATGAGCGTTCATTAGCAGGAATGGGGGGCATTCTCTCAAGCACCCGCGTTACTTCATTCACCCCTACTGAAAACTGTTGCTGCATAAATATCAGATCGGCAACTTGAGTATGAGATGAAAATTAGCATCCTATATAATGGTAAACCGAAAAAAAAAAAAGAACTTATCCTTTTGATATAAAAAAAGTTAACTGTGAGTAATAAGGTCTATATGAAAGTCGAAAAAACATGAGGTCTCGAATTCAAATTTTAGTGTAGATAGAAAATTTCTTAATTGCGAGTGATACTTCTTTCATAACCATTGATAATTCATCTTCTTCCTTGAGTGGTGGACCACAATTGGGGCTTGAACTATACAGCTCAAAAATAAACTCGGTAGGAGGGTAGGAACCAACCTTAAGCCAAAATTTCTCAGGTAAAGATATGTCGGATTTTCTGGCTGTGGCTATCTCCCTGCGGCGGGGCATCGTTAATATCTTGCGGCAGAGAAAAAAAAAAGCGACAAGTTGAGAAATACGAACGACGGATAAATTTACCTCTTAATCGCCGTGAGGAGACGGTCCAGAACTTCACCTTCATAGCAACTGGATTTATATTTATTGGTACATAAAAACCGCAGCGATTAACCAATTGACTACTCTCAATCGAAAAAAAAAAGAGAAGAGAATAATGATAACGAGGTTTACATTGTCGGTTGCCGGAAAGAATGGCGGCTAACGGAGACTTTCTTCTCCTCTTCTCCTGTGACTATGGTTGTAGAAGCAGCCATTGGCATACTCATCTTCCTAACTCTCGCCCCCTCAGTTGCCGCCTACAGAAAATTCAGCTGCTATTTGTTGGACCATGGGCTTTGCTTTTGGATCCCACAAGGGAAAGTTTAAGGGAACTTTCACTTATAGTCACTCAAAAATAGTCTAATTACTCTTCATAGCTATAGTTTGATAATTACAATTCGTAGCTACATGTTATATGGAAGAGAGAGGCGAGCGAGACTGGGAGAGAGAGAGGAGAGAGGCGAGAGAGAGGGGGCAAAGAGTGGAGAAAGGTGAATTGTATATGTATATAGGTTAGATAATTGTATATTATACATATATATTTGTATATATGGCAAGAGAGATTGGGAGAAGGAGGAGAGAGGCGAGCGAGATTGGGAGAGGGAGGAGAGAGGCGAGAGAGAGAGGGCAGAGTGGGGAGAGAGGTGAATTGTATGTGTATATATGTTAGATAATTGTATATTATACATATGCAATTGTATATATAGCAAGCGAGATTGGGAGAGGGAGGAGAGAGGCGAGCGAGATTGGGAGAGAGAGGAGAGAGGCGAGCGAGAGAGGGCAGAGAGTGGGAGAGAGGTGAATTGTATATGTATATAGGTTAGATAATTGTATATTTACATAGTATTTGTATATTCTGACGAATTATACATATACAAACATGACTAATTATACAAACTCGAAGTCAATCCGCGTAATTAATGTATAATGTTAGTTGTGAGTGGTAATTATAGCAAACTATAGCTATGATGAGTAATTAAGTAGTATAAGTTTGCTTAATTGCGTAATTTTCCCAAAGTTTAATCATTTGGGGCATAATATATAGATATGTCTTTTAATTTAGTTTCAATTGTTATCTAAGTTTTTCAACTTTTAATGTGCATAATTAAACACTTAAGTTTATATAAAATTAGACAATTAAACACATGTGACCTAGATCGGCATGTAAGATACATGTGTTTACTTATTTAATTTTGAAAAAATACATAATTACCCCATTAAAGTAAAAGACCTATTTTTTTAAAAAGACACTTCAACTTTGTGGGGGTCCTAGTACCCCTTAAACAATTTTAAAATGTTGTAAATATCCCATTTTTCAGCCACCCTCAATTGCAAGAAAAGAAGTGTAATCATGCACCAGTTATTATCTGTCATGTGTTTATTTTAATTTTTAATTTTATTTTCATTTTTGTTTTTTCTTATTTTATTAACTTTATTTTCTTTTTCTTTTTCTCTTTCTTCATTACCCTCTGATCTTCTTCAGTCCTTTATCACCAAGAATCCTCTACGTAGACGCCATCTTCGTCAATCCTCCGGAGTAGTCTTTATCACGTCACTATTATAATACCATTTTCACCATTAATATCATCAAATTATTGTTAAATCAAAAATAAAATTACTAATGAATTATAAGTTGAAAATTAATAATCACTTCCAATCTACCATCTCTTTTTCAAAATTATAACAATTATGCAGCGGAAATCCATTACGATGAAGGTAATGGAATTCTATAATACTCTCAAATCGAAGAAATTTCTTTATTTACATGCAAAAGAACTGAATAACAATTTATTTATTTAAAAAAGGAACAATGTTATCAAGGAGGCTTACAATTATTATTATTTTGGAAAAAAATAAGGGCAAAAGAAGGAAAAAGAACAAAGAGAAGCAAGAAGACAAGGAAAAAAATGAGCGAAGAAAATGGGTCTTCTAAGTTGAAGAAGATACAAAAGAGGTAGTTGGTTCTTTTGAAATTTGGGAAAGAAGATAACAAAAATAAAGAATTGAGAAAGTACAATAAAATAAATAAAAGAAAAAAAAATTCTAATAAAATAAATGCTTAAATAAATATTTATTTACTTTTGGTTCAGCTCACTCTCTGAACTACATAATAATGGGGTAATAGGACCCCTAATAAGTTGAAGTGTCTTTTTAAAAAAACATGTCTTACTTTAATGAGGTAATTAAGTGTCTACTTGTACATATTTAAAGTTGAAGACATAAATATTAATTGAAACCAAATTAAAACACATGTACCAAAATATTTATATTTGTTAGACAATAGATACACTAATTATATATTTTTTTGACTACTTTTTTTTGTTTTACTAAAGTTAATTTCTTCCATAAAAAAATTGCACACAATGAATTTGCTCGTTATATACCTTTTGAACATACAATTTACATAATTGCATGTCCGATCGGAGGTTATACAACAATAGAAGTGTAGTTTAATCAAATTATTAAGGTATACTAATGTAAGTTGTATACTCATAGACACCCAGGGTAAATTTCCCCCTAAAAAAGGTTCTTTGGTTTATAGTCATTGATTAATTGTATATTTGTAGTCATTTACTTATTTAGTTTTATCAATTGTACTCTTTCTATACTAGCCCAATCAAATATAATTACTTTATTATTTATGTTCAAACATTTGGATAGATTTTTAAAATTAAATCATAAGGAGTTTCACAACAAATAGTATGTGAATTTAGGGGTGTTTACGATTTGGATAAAAATCAATTCAAACCGGATTAAATATATCAATTTTATTTGGGTTTGGTTTGATTTGATTTGATTTTGGATTTTTAAAAACATACAGTATTTGATTTGATTGCAATTTTGTTAGAAAAAAACTGAATAAATAACCAAACCAATAAATTATATACATATATATTATTATTATACATACATAACATATTATTTTTATAAAACAATTTTAAAGATCTAATATATGCTTTCATCAAAATTTATTTATAATTTAATTATGAAAGCAAAACTATCCAAAGTGAAAATAGTGAATTCATAGTAAACTCAATGATCAAAAGTTTTATAAAATCAATCATTCTAACTATTTTTCATTTTGAATAAATTGTTGTCAATTTTTCATATTTGAATGATTATTGTGTATGAATCAAATCCAATAACAATGAGATTGATAAATGTATATTATATTTTTGGTTTGGATAATTTTAAAATGATTTTGGACCAATAATCAATCCAAACTACCCCATGATACATTAAATTGAATGATTGCTGCCTATTGTCTATTTTACTACAAATTCCATATAATTCATTCAACAAAATTTTTAATGTGTAGTAAGTAAGAGCATCAACAATAAAAACAAAGTCAATTTACACCCTAAGTAGTGCATCTAGCTTCAATTGTGAGCAAGAAACACACCAACAAAATTGCAAGATCTTTGATTGAAGAAAACAAAGCACAAATTCCATTAACCAGATTCGAAAATGATAGTAAACATACTTCAACTGAACTGAAATCATCTATTAGATTTACACAACTAACCCTACCATTCCAACAACAGATGCAAACAAGAAACAGTAAAACAGATAAAACACTAACAACTTTCTTCTACCTATGCCCTTTCTCCACGAATCCTCCTAGCAAGCTGGATATCCTTAGGCATAATCGTAACCCTCTTAGCATGAATAGCACACAGATTAGTATCTTCAAACACTCCAACAAGGTACGCCTCAGCAGCCTCTTGTAGAGCAGCAACAGCACTGCTCTGAAACCTCAGATCCGTTTTGAAATCCTGAGCGATCTCCCTCACCAGCCTCTGAAACGGCAACTTCCTGATCAACAACTCCGTCGACTTCTGATACTTCCTGATTTCTCTTAAAGCCACAGTTCCTGGACGGAAACGGTGAGGCTTTTTCACACCTCCGGTCGCCGGAGCAGATTTTCTAGCAGCCTTAGTAGCTAGTTGCTTCCTTGGTGCCTTACCACCGGTGGATTTGCGAGCTGTTTGCTTAGTACGAGCCATTTTTAGTGTATATTGAGAAAAGTTGAAGATGTTAAACAATGGTGAAATTTGAGTGATGGGTAATGGGGGATTTTATACAGAGAGATGGAGGGCGGGAAATTTGGAAATTTTGGAGAATTTTTAATTTTTTTGGCGCTAAAGTGGTTGAGAGTGAATACAGACCGTTGATTTAGATTTTGTGTTAACGGTGAAGATTGGAGAAGAGATGGATTGCTCGGATAGCGATCTATGTCACACTAAAGTGACAAATGTGTAATTGCCACGTGGATATCAAAGGTAGTAACTCCGTAATTGTTTTCTTTTACTTATTTTTTAATTTTCTCAATTCTTTTTAGCCACAATTTTGCTACCACGTTTTTAGGTGGTTATTTTATTCACTTGAAAAAATGGCATTAGTTTGTGAATAATTTGTTGAAATTATATAAAAAGAATTTCCATAGATAGAATTTATGGCCAAATTTTGAGGATGATTAGCAATAATTGTACAGTTACCAGTTCTAATGGATCGCATAATTATGATGAATTTGTTATAAAATCTTAATGGTCTCTATAATTTGTTAGGTTCACCAAAATGCTTTTTGCTTCAAAAGTAACCAATACCACTTAATCTTTCAAATGGATCGCATAATTATGATATTATATATGTTTTTATTTCAAATCTATTTTTCTAGCTTTTTGAGATGTTGTTAATAATTTTTGTGTAGTCAATTTCTTCTAATAATTCTTTTTCAATAGATAATATAATCAAACCACTTAATCTTTCTTGAGACATGGTTGATCTTAAATAAAATTTTATTATTTTTAATTTTGAAAAACTTCTTTCTGCTGGGGCAACTGTTACAAGAATTGTTAACATTATTCTATAAGCAATGTAAGTATTTGAAAAAGAATCAAGTCTTTTTATTTGATCGAGTATCTCAATTAGAGTATTGTCTTCTACTTGTATGATTCCCCTTAACACTTTTAATTCAGAAAATAAGTCTAGATCATCAATATCTGAGTGAATATTATGTTTTAAGGAACATTCAAGATTAAGACAATATTTTTTAAAATTTGCATTATCTAATGATTTCATTTTTTTCCCACTGAATAGAAACCCAAAAATATTTTCATATACTTCAAATTGTTCAAATCTATTTTGAAGTGAAAAGATGGTTTGGTCTACTATGTATAAGAAGTAATCAACTCTAAATGATTCTTCAAGAGATCTTGTGATTTCATTATCAACATTCTCATCAAATTGTTTTTTTCTATAAATTACACGTTTCTTACAAAATTCAAGTTCTATATTCATCTCTAATGCAATTTCCTTAGCTGAAA